CAATGTAGCTTTGCCTTTAATCGCTACGCAGGAGTTTTGAAAGTCTGTCAATACTAAATTTGACGGCTTGAGTCTGACTCGTTTCCCGCCATGTCTGCAGATGTAGTTGAAAGTTTTGTAGGAAATTATGGACAGGTCTGACCCTGTGTCCAGTTCCATTGAACATGGAATTCCTTGTAGCCTGACTCTGAGTCTTAGCTTTTCTTTGAGAGGGCGATGGGCTCCTGTTCTAAGGATGTTCCTCCTCCCGGAGCAGAATCCTACTCTGTTTTGCCCCGGGGCCCATTTACCTCTCCTGGGGAATTCTTCAGATGGAGATTCCCTCTGGCGACCTTTACAGACGATGGTGATGTGCCCCTGTTTGCCGCAGGCTTGGCACATGGCTGAGCAGAATCTGCACTCTGATCACTGGTGCCGTTCTCTGCAGCCAGCACAGCTAGGAAAGAAAGCTGCCTTGTCAAATGACTGCTGTTTTCTTCTTGGAAGCTTCTGCACCCAGTTGATTTCAACGTCCTCATCCAGGTCATCTGTTCTCTCTGTGTCTTTATGGTGAACAGCTGTCTGACTGGGGGAATTCTTTGAGGGTCGTAAAGCCTTGACTGCTCCTCCGGCGACCTCTTCTGCCATCACTTCTTTCAATGCATCCTGGAACGTCAAGGTCTCCTTTGCAAACAGCCTCTGCTGTAAGTCTCTGTTTCTCGGGCCACATACCAGTCGGTCCCTGAGCTGATCTTCTAGATCTGGGAATTCACAGAGTCTGGATGCCTGTCTCAGGGCAGCCACGAACTCTGCAGGTGACTCCCCAGGCTGCTGCTTTCTCTGCTTGAACACGTGTCTCCATGCAATGATGGACAGTCTTGGTTCGAAGTGTTCTTTAAGTTTTCGCTTCAAGTCAGCGTAGGTGACCGACTCCAAACTGACCGGAGCAATCAATTTTTCTGCTATGTCAAAAGTCGCCTGACCGCATACACATAGCAAGGTAGCAGCCTTTAGTCCATCTTCCCTCACCTGATTTGCTCTCAGGTAATTTTCCACCCTGGAGACATAAGAGCTCCATTGCTCTTTGTGCGAAATGTCAAATTCAGACAATTTGCCGGCCTTGGCCATAGCTGACTGTTGCTGAGTCTTTTCAATGCTTTATGCTACTAAGGGCTTCTGTGCGAGTCCTGGGGACGGATCCCTCAGGATACTGATGCCTCCAGCGTGGCTTGCTGGCAGGTAGAAGGGGGGGAACACAGTTCCTACCAGGGTGCTGACTTCTGGCTCTGGTTAGTGCTTCAGCTCTTTCTTCCTTAGCAGCATATCCCACCTTCATCACCACTGTTCTGTTCTGGGATCGGTGAGGCATTGAGGAGACTGAAGGTTAAGTAACAACTCTTTTATTGAATCAACACAGAAGTGGCTCTAACAGCCGCTTGACTCCTATTTATACTAGACTGCCACTAGGTGGCAGCCAATCAGTTTAAAACACTATTTGCCGCCTAAAGTGCAGGCTTGTTACAATACACCACGGTTAGAGCCTTATTTAAACATAATCATGTAACTGCTTTATAACTGCCATTATAAAAAATGGGTTAATACACAACAAAGGACATGTGGGGTTACCCGCTCATAGAAGGTTTTTTAATGCTGCCTTTCTATGGGGAAATTGTTTAAAATGTTACCTTTTAGGTAAAATGTTCTGGAGCTGTCAAAAAACAGTGGAATTGTCCTGTTTTTTGGAATTTCTGTGTATGTGTATGTGAAGAATGGTGTGTGTTTTGCCTCTGTGTGTTTCCAACACAGAACACCCTGATATATTCTTGTGACATCTTTTGTGACAATTTATGATGGTGTAAGCTTTCCTGCACTCAGTCTACCTCACAACCACTAAATCTGTATTTAGAATATCAGTGAAAGTAGAAATGGGCAACATTTGTATTTTACTTAAATTTTAAGTAAAGTCCCAGCTACACTGTATGATGCATATTTTTTAATGAAAGCCCCCATTCCATGAGCATATCAAATGGGATGTCTATCACTAAACTATATTTATTAATAATCAAATAATTGCAGCTGGTTTGATTTCAACTCTGCTTTTCATTTTTCTCTAAGCACACGGCATACTCTGTCTGCAAGATTTCCTAATAAAACATTTAAGCACCTTAGCACCAGTTACATAAAATACTTACTTAGCCATTTAAGATAAAGTCCTAGGAAGCATGCGTACATCAAACGCTAACTTTGGTTAGCACTACCCTTGGCTCTGATTTCTGTGGCTTAGTTCCTGGAATTGGCCTGTTGTGTGAAGGTAGTTTCTGAACTTCAGCTGTTACAGAACAGTGACTGAGAAGGGCATCAAGTTGGCAAACCAGGTCCCAGAGGTTTGTATCTCTTTCCCTCCCTCTTTTCCTAGTTGCCCAGTTAGGGAGGAGAAGTTCAGAGGGATGCATAGTATTGGAGGCAATTTGTTACATTGTAATGGGTAGCAGACACCAAGGCGAATAAACAAAAGGTTACATTGTAGTGAATAGAGGAAGTGAAAGCAATAAACCTGCATGCATATCCCCCCATCCCCCTTGGGAATATGGCAGAATCCAGGGAAAGGTGAGAATTGGTTTTAGATCAGAGGAGGTAGATAGAAAGGAAATATAACTGGATTCTGACACAAAGGGATAAATTGGTGAATCACGAGGAATAAAAACCATTCTGGGAGAAATTCCATGTTACTTGGCTTTATTTAAAGCTGTTAACTTGAATAAGCCATACTTTAGGAGAGTATTATAATTATTCTGATGATTTTATAATCAGATTATATGGGGATTGAGGATATTTTAGTTGGGTCAGTACTCAAAAAGAGTTTGAATTTGCTCATATAAATCCTGTTTTGATGGATTAACAAAAAACATTGGCAGTCAGGTAGGGATTTGTATGTATCTGCAGTTCCATGAAAGTAACTATTTTCAAATTAATCAATAGAGAAAGTATATCAACAATTACATTCTGACCTTTTCAGGCTCTCCTCTTGTGCCTGACAATCTTTGTATTAGTTGCCTTTTTCAGATTAGAATAGATTATTTAGCCAAACTGTAAGGAAATGTCAGTGAAAGTCCAAAGTTCCAGTTAAGTGCATGAGAACAGAGACAATGTGTCAGATCCACCCCAGTTTGCTTTCTCAGGAAAGTAAAAGTTGTGTCTCCATTTAGTTGAAGCAAAGGAACCTTTACTGAAAGAAACTGGTTGCAGTAAAGTCAGGGGGAATCTGGTGTTCCCGTGCAAAATACAAAGCTATTATTTCCAACTTCCAATCCCTCCCCCTATGACCAGTCCCCCGACCAGCCAATGTGATGCTGGTATAATGTTTTGAGAAACTCTGAGGTGTGAAACTGGTAACATTCAATTCTCAGAGAAAATGGCCTTGAAGATCCTGGTACAAGCTATTTTGGTGATCTGGTGTTCTTCTATTGTTACGTCTCCTCCCCATTTCCCACCATTAGATACATAGGTGTGGGTTACTGCACATGCCTCCCCTCTCCCTTTCCCTTTGATGGCAGGAAACCAGTAAGGCACCAGGCCGATGATGGAGATCCTAACAGTGTATCTGAACTCTATTATAACCTTTTATTAGAATTCAGTCAGAATTGAATAGAAAATTATATTCAGTATTGCTGCTCAAGGCAAAGTATAGAAAATTATACAAGTTATAAACACTGAACATGGTTCAGTGATGGTCTTTGAGAATATGCTGTTCACATAGCACTTTACTATAGTGGGTTTTGTTCAAGCTATTTCAAAGCTTATTGGAGTAATTTACACTTTAATTATATGCTTCTACATTACAGTATATTCAATATTAAATTATACATTATACTGGGAATAGAAGAAATAAGAAACTTCTTTCATAGTTCCCAAATATTAAATGCAGAAGCTCTTCTGAATCTCTAATTCTGCTATGCTTAATAAGATGTGTGTACATAAGCTGTTTTGCATGTATGGAAAAACCTTTGATTCCATGTAATAACATTCTTAATGAGCAAAAAGCTACTGACTTATAATTTTTAGGAAGGGGTAGTTTTAAATACCACTTGAACTATGTATGTCTTCTCATTAAATTATGCAGGTATTTATTTCATGTGCATTCTGAGTTCTAGGTTAATTAGGAAGAAGTGTATAGTCTTGAGAAAAAAAATTAGAAGACTATTGCATGTATCAGAAATGATAATATTTTTTGAATGTGGCTTGCTAGTTGTCTGTGTCAGTGGGAGAAGGATGCAGGAAAGTACTCATGTCCTAGAACAGCGGTTCTCAACCTGTGGGTCGGGACCCATTTGGGGTCAAATGACCATTTCACGGGGGTCACCAAACAACGCAGTCCGCCATTTTTTTCCCTTTTCCCCAGCTGTTCTACTCCCTCTTATTGGTGGCCACACCCACTTGGGGGTCACCACAACATGGGGAACTGTTTTATGGGGTCACGGCATTAGAAAGGTTGAGAACCACTGTCCTAGAAGAAGCACTGAGTGCTTGTATTTCCTTGTGAAAATGGAACTACTGAAAAATGTAGAAAAAATAAAAGAGAATAAAGCAGGGACTCTGCTTTGGTACAAAATCTTTCTTATTTATCAGGCTAAATTCTGCTTCAGTTAACCATCCAAATGCATGTTTCAAATCTATTCTTATGATACCACTCAAGAAAGTTAGTTATATTAGGTACTATGTTTTAGCAACAGAGTTGCAAGGCTTGAAGTCATTCATATCTTATTTGGATATTTGGAATATTGGGGTATCTAAGAAATTTGTCCTTGACACTCAGCTTCTAATGTGTAAAATTTAGATAGCAAAAAGGACAAATTATAATGCAATCAAAGTCCTTATATTTCACATTGGCACCATTCATTGTCTTTTTCAATGTTCTTTTTACATTTTTAGCCACATCATTTGTCCTCTCTCAAGCATCTAAATAACAATTCATTCCAGCTGGTGAAGTAGGCCAAAATATGCTTCTCTTGTTTCATGAACAGGCTTATCAGCATGTCAGGTTATGTGGAACTTGTTCAGATATGCACCCTGACACAGTAATGCTCAATGTCATCTAGTGTCTGCCAGTATATATTTCTACATATTAAGGTAAACAATCATCAAATTTCCTTTTTACTCAATTAGTAATCTAATTACATTGTGATGTTTGCCTTTCTATTTCTTGGCATGTAACTTCTAATTAATTTAATTTTACATGTATTGTCTATAATGAAAATACAGCAACATGTTGGGTTACCAGTGACAGAAACAGAAACTTAAACAGAAATTATTTCACTCAAATAAACTAATGTATTTATTTTACATGAAAACATCCAGTAACTATAAAGTGACACTTAAATGACCTCTGTAAATTATTACTTTTATTCTGTTAATAATGAGATAAACATGAAAGAGGAAATATATACTTATTTATGAATAGTTTATTATAATACATGTACCAATCTAAAAGAATGTATTTATATAAGCAATCTAAATGAGTGGGTATATAAATAAATGAGTTGTAAGTAGTGCCAAGGAATATGCAGCATCTTTTTAAAATAGCTAATAAAATGCAGTTACTTCAATAAGTTGATTTCAAAGATTAAATTTTAAATCATTTAAATGACTGTATCACTTATAAATACTATCTATATCTAATGCATATCTATATTTTGTCTTTCTAAAATACAGTCTGTCTAAAATACAATTCAATATATGGAGCTGGTATCTGAGTCTCCATTTATTTCAAATTGCAATGAAAAATAGATAATATAAAATGAAATCAGAAAACATATTTATCTGTCTCTCCATATTTATAATAGTCTGTCATTATATTCAATGCTGTCTTATTTCTTTTTTTAATTATGAGTGTCTTTTCATAAGCTTTTCTGAACGCTATAAGAAAGTTTGAGTAGGAAGTGTATATTGTTCTGGTCACAGTTACCAATCAGTTTGGATGTCATTTTGGTTCATGTCAGTGAAGTTACTGACAACTGGTTGCTTTCCTGTCCTCATTTCCTTTCAAGTGCCAGCCTCTTAAGAGGTTATTCAAAAGCTGACATTTGGCACTTTTGAAACTGTGGTACCATATTGGGCTTTTTCACTGACAGTTAGAAGAGATGAATGAATAGGCAAATAGGGTGTAAAAAAAAACAGGAAGAAGAAAGAAAGAAAGAAAGAAGGAAGGAAAGAAAGAAAGAAAGAAAGAAAGAAAGAAAGAAAGAAAGAAAGAAAGAAAGAAAGAAAACAGGAGAAAATATAATGGATACAATAAAAATGAACACCATTTAGAACAAAATGAAGAGAAATAAAGAAAAACATATAGTTCATACAAAGTGTGCCCTTGCTCGTGCAAATGGAGCACACATTCACCTGCTGCTCATGCAAGTGGCGATACATGCAGGCAAGCTTGCTCACTGCTTTGGATGGCCCAGTTCTGAACAGCTCATGGCCCAGTAGAGGGTCCCAGCCCTGGGGCTGGAGACCCATGCTCTGAGCAGCATACAGAATTTAGAAAATAAGATACAAAATTAATGCTACAATTAATTAAAAGAGTAACATCCAAAATTGAATCCTTTAAATTAGGTTCTAAATCTAATTAGCTAATTTTTGAAGGCCTTTTGAATAATTCCTTTTTTGTATTTCCAGAAAGTCACAAGGCTATTCGGGTTCAAGGACAAATTACAAGGGAGAGGAGCTTTAGAGACAGTTGGTTCCCTACCCACAGTTGGACCCCTACCCACCGAACAGTAGATATAGAAAATCTACACACCTCTGTTAAAATGCCAAGTTTTTGAGATGTAAAAACATTAGACCAAGCTAAAACACTTCAGAATTTTCTCCACCTTTAATATAACATATAACAGTGATGGCAAACCTTTTAGAGACCGAGTGACCAAAAACTGGCCCCGCCCCGGTCCACCCCCCCACCCTCCCTGCCCGCAGGGCCACTCACCGCCTCTAGGGCCCGCTGCAGATCACTCAGGCAGCCCAGCAGCACCATGGCGGCCACGTCCTCTGCCTGCACCCTGCAGCATCAACTGTGCGCAATGGGGCATGAGGGCAGAGTCTTGTCTATGCTGCCTGGCTGCCATGTCCTTGGCTATGCTGCTCTGTGTGGGCCACGCTCGGGGGCAACTCTCCCCCAGGGGGGCTATTGGTGAGGAAGGGGTCACGGGGGGAGGCAAGACTGGGACAACGGCACGTGTGCCCACAGAGGGGTATCCGCGTGCTATAGGTTCGCCACCACTGACATATAAGCTGTTCAGTGACAAAAAAAAAAAATAGAAACTTGCAATAACATGATTGCATAAAGATGCACACTCTTAAACTAATACTTTGTCAAAGACCTGTTGATTTTATAACAGCATTCAGTCTTTTGGGGTAGAGTCTATCAGCATGGCACATCTTGTCTTGGGAATCTTCCATCTATTTCTTGCAAAAACACTTCAGATCTGTCAGGTAGCGAGATATCTCCTATGCACAGCCCTCTTTAGGTCACCCTGCAGATTATTAATTGGATTCAGGCCTGGGCTCTGGCTGGGACATTCCAAAACTTTGAACTTCTAGTGAAGCCATTCTTTTGTTGATCTGGATATGATTTGGATTGTTATGTTGAAAGATGAAAGTTTCTTCATTTCAACAGAGGCCTAAAGGTTTTGTGCCAAAACTGACTGATATTTGGAACTGTTCAAAATTTCTTCCATCTTGACTAAAGCCTCCGTTCCAGCTGAAAAAAAAGCAGCTCAAAAGCACTATGGATATGGTGTACCTTTGGTGATGTTCATTGTTTTTGCACCAAACACACTTTTGGGCGGGAGAGTTCAACCTTGATCTCACCAGAGCATATCACATGTTTTTGTTAGACTTGATGTAGAACTTTACAAAATGTAGATGGACTTGGATGTTTTTCTTTGTAAAAAAAATACTTTCATCTTGCCACCCTACCTCATAGCCTAGACATATGAAGAATACAGGATATTGTTGTCACAGTATTAGGACTAAATATTAGAGAAGATTGAGGCTTTTGGTCTATTATCTATTTTATCAACAAAAAGAATTCATAAATGTGTTTGCAACAAGAAGTATTAATGTAAGTACAACTATATACAATATAGTTTTCTGTGAAACATGGAAAAATTAATGTAATATTTTTTTAATATATTACAACATGACACTTGTACCTCTGTCCAGTGGATGTCATCTCCAATGTAATTAATGTTGGGGGAAATATTGTTATTTATAAAAAGGATTATTGTAATAGAAGACATTTTCTATTTCATTTCTATTTTTTGAAGTTACACAAGGACAGTGATAAAATAATGGACTCCTTATAAGTAAGGATTTGTTGACCTTAAAGTACAAGCCAAGTAAAATGTCAAGTTCCCAAGTATGCATCCTTTCTTTTAATGAAGAGCTTTAATTACATTGATCCCTGCCTTTTGTTGCTCTCCCTCTCCACTGCACACTATAGAGAAGAAAATTGTTTGCATTTGTTTTGCTAAAAGGGTGGACTTGAATTGTTGAATTGAGCCCTACTGAGGACAGAACTTCTTATGTTTGGCTGAATTCCACCACCAAGGATAATATAGTTCGTTTTATTTTTAATTTCAATGAGAGAGAATACTACGATTTGTTTCTCCACCTGCGACTATGTTTATTTGGGTTTATTGATGTAGAAAAATAGACTGTCTAGTTCCTTGGCTAAAGCCCCAAGAAACAGTTCATTTTACAGAAGACAAAATGATTTTTTCTAGATGGTTTGTATGTTTATGCATGTGAGGGAGAGCTCTGTGTAATCCTTATTGTTTCCATGTCTTAATCTGTTACAATGTCTATGAATCTCTTAAAATGTAATGCTTGAGCTGGACATAATACTCAAAGCACAATAAATACCGAAGCAGAACAAAGTGGAATAATTACATCCCATGATTTGGATTTACTTCTGTTGATGCAACCTAAAATTGCATTCCAGCAATTATCAAATTCATATTCTGTTACCAATCAACTGCTTCAAATATCTGGTTAAATATCATTCTGTTATTTTCAATCTACTTTTCTAGCTTATTTATGCTATTTTGAATATTTGCATCTTCTAAAGCAGATATGGCTATTTAGCAATCTATATATGAAGCCAAAATATGATTCAGAATTTATGTCCTTTGCATGCATAACCAGTTGGGAACACTTAAATGAAATGCATCTTCACCTTGGGATCTCATTCATTTATCTTATAGACGTATAATTCCTCTGATTTTATTTATATCACTTTCTTTGAAATCCAGGTCCAAGTGCTTGAATAAGTAGAAGCCTTTAAAATCAAGAGCTTCAGCATTATAGTCAGTTTCTTGCACTGTTTCTGTTATTTTTATTTTCCTCAAGTAAAATCTTACGTATTGTTTAGTCAAGGATAGAGAATCTGCTTTTATCTTCCTCCATTGTCCAAATGATAAGTTTGTCAATAAGACAAAACAATAATTTCCAGAAAGGATCATACTTTGCAAACTTTTATTTAGTAGTATACATTTGCAGAAAGTTTGAGAACATTGACATAACTGGACACAAATCTTTTGCATCAACATTATCTTAATATTTTGGATATTCTTTATCATTCTGGTTCTTTTTCATAAGATGGATGTATTAAAACAGGGCTTTTCAATCTTTTTACAGATTGTACCACTTTTAGGACATGAGAATATTTGAGTACCTCCAGAGTTTAGCAAGGTGTCAAAAACTTGATGACTGAAAAAAAGGGGAGGGGATTTGGGGCTTTACTGATTAGATTCATTTGTTGTTATAGAAATGACTAGTTTATAATATTATAGAGAAGTAAAAAGTTGAGGTTCAATGTTAATGCTTTCTTCTACTGCAACAGAGTGAGGGAAGTCAGAGCCCCAGAGAAGGAAATATTAAAAAAGGCAGAAAATATATTTCCTCAAAAAGGATTTTTAAAAGCAGAAGCCAACCCTGCCCCCAAATCTCTCTATCCCAAACAGGAGCCAGCCCTATACAAATGCAAATGTAACCATCAGAAAGTTGGAGCCAGAAAACTCAAGAAGACAAAGAGACCTAAAATCTGCATACCCCACCCAAACTCTAGGAGTCATTAG